AGGATTGAATGATTGAACTGAAGGATTGAATGATTGAACCGAAGGATTGCATGTTTGAACTGAAGGATTGAACGATTGAACTAAAGGATTGAATGATTGAACTGAAGGATTGAATGATTGAACTGAATCTTTGAATTTTGGCACGAAAAACGCGCCATAGATAAGCTGGTCGTATGTTGTGCAATGCAGCCCTCAGGGCTGTACTACAAGTTGTTCACTCGAGGAGTCAACATCGTTGGACTGAGTGCAGGCGGAAATTACAAGAACTTGGAAAGCAGTCAGCTTGTAAATCGTTTTTGACTGTGAATATATAAATAGTTCAAACACACAAGCAAAATATATTCATTAATATAGTGCTAATAACAGGCAAAAGAATTAGAAATGACGGGTGCTATTCAGTTATAAAATTGTTTCGTAATATACCATAATGACAATGAGAAACTCCATTCCTAGTCTTGAGTACGACTGAAACTAAATAAATATTTTGCCAACAATAACTTCTGTTGAAACCACAAGATAAATGCCTTACCTCTTTGAGCGCATGCATGGCCCGTATATTCAACCAAATTTATCATGCAAATCAAATCGAAACGCTGCAAATATTCCTTAGGGAATTGGAACAACAGGGCTTTCTAATAAACCTGTCTGTGGGAAAAGAGTCTTATTGGCTTCGAAAAAGGGCTCGTATAATTCATATGAAATTGAACCCCTCTTTTGTAATACAGTACAGTAATCCAATAATACTATATAATATGATATATAACAAAAAAAAATCATTCTACCTAGCAATCTATTTGTCATAACTCAAAAAGATTATTATATAGGAATCCACTTGTTACATTATCAATAAAAAAGATCATTGGAATGGTTTTTGACTTCATTAGAAGCCACGAGCGAAAAAAAAATATCACAGAAACTTTTGTCACAGAGACAAGGTAAAATGGCATAATTAAAGTCACCGTCTAGAGGGTATGAGACAGGCTGTGTTAAACCTTTGTCTTTGATGACTAATTATCTTGGGCTGCAAATAGTAACTTAGATTGTGATATTGAAGTATTACTAGAGAATAGAATAGAGCTGACCCGAATATAAAGCAGGGTATTGGATTAGTGATAATGCTAAACACTGATAATCATCATAGTGACCGTCTAGCGAAAACCTGATCTGCACCAGGTATCTTCAGTGACTTAATTTTTTTTTTTTTTTTGAAGTAGAAATTCTAGTTTGTAGAAAGATAATTTCAAGTGGTGTTCTGAAGGATTCAGAATAGAGTACATTCAATTTACTCTGCGTTTAGGAGTTATTGATATTTGGTAAATAATAATAAGAATCACAAAAGTGTTCATTGATTGTAGTATGACTGACGGAATTTCGTTAAGTGTTGTATTGTTATGCAAGAAGAATGTAGATACTATACGAGTCACGGATATGTATCTCCAGAAAAAGAGAGAGAAAAAAACCCCGTTTCTTTTAACAACAGAGGTTCGAACTAGGTGATATAATTCTTACAAGCTTTCTTATAATATAAAAATGACTAGAGTTAGATGTATTATTGGAGAAAATGCTAAAAAAAGTTAAAATTATCCCATACTATACTAAGAAAACCAATATTTCCCCCGGGAAAGTGTGATAAATTTGCATAAGTGAAGAAAGGCCGCATTTGTGACTGAAAATATTAGTGGCAAAGGGTGTAAAGTTTAGCTCTTTGGTTTTTAGGGGAATTTGTTAAAGGAGAACAGTTCATGACTGGTCGTTTCCGCTTCAATCTAAGTATATTCTAATTATATGTCTGAATTAGTGCGTTAGTACATCCGTTTGTTGTATTAGCCAATCATGAATCAAGAAGCAAAATGAGCTCATGTTCCAACCCATTGGTTCTTGAGCATGTAAGCTTTGACGATGATGCTAATGAAGCATTTAATTAAAATTCAATTTACGGAAAAAGATCTAGGGAAGGGAGAAGGAGAGGGAAAAGGAGAAGGAGAAGGGAAATACAACAAGTAAGACGAGTAGCTGCATGTCAGACGAGTTGCTAGCCCCATCTTAGACGAATTGTTTCACCTAAGACGAGTTGCATCCTAGACGTCTAACATTCAGCAACTCAGAGTTTTTTATTTGCGGCAACTCGTCTAGCTTTTTGAATGTAGGGCCTTATTGGCAACCGTATTCAAGCAAGGTGGGTGTATGGAACAAGCTCTGCAACCTGAAGAAGCCATATGTTTTTAAATGTTTTTTTAAAATGAATTTTGTTTTGTGATCAAGCTTGGGTATTATCAAGCTATGCAAGCTATGCAACCTCAAGAAGCCATATGTTTTTACATGTTTTTTAAAGAAATTTTGTTTTTGATAAACCTTGGGTACGATCATTAACACTGGGTCGTCACATCTGTTACAGCATGTAACGACGTTGGAAAATGCATGAATTGAATAGTTAATCAAAAGCTCTAAATTGTTTTGCTTGATGCATCTCAGCATGGGACAATTACAACAGAGTTAGCCATGCAAAACTCCAATCTAATGAGCCCAAAAATTAAATTTGAATTTAGGTTAAAGTTAATTTTTGCGGAAGGAGAAAATCCTCGAAGCACAAGAGAGAACCGAGGCAACTCTACTTACATGTGGCGGTGGGTCTGAGGATCGAACCACGACAATTCCTGAGAGCTGCAGTTTGCTGGCTTCCTCCTGTACTTCGAGGGATTTTTTCTACAGCTTCTCTAGTTTTTATCCTTCCGTACTTTCCTTTAAAAAATGGACTAGTTTTATGTGCTTTCCAAAACGCCCGAATATCAAGGGCTAACAAAGCAACCGAACTTCTTTTTTTATCAGAAATACAACAAACGAAGCAACTCTAAGCTATTATTGTCGCATTCAGTATCATCACAGAACTAACAATGCAGGTGGCCCAACGCATAAAATATTTGTTATTTTTATAGCTATTCTTGTTGAAGCATAACTTTTGATCACAATGCAACTGATAACTACAATAAAATTACCGCTACAGGTAGGGCTTAGAAATAGCGCAACAGGGGGCAAAACACCCATCAATGCTGCGGACTGAAGCCTTTCTAGTGCATAATTGGCATAGCGCGCCACGCTGCTACATGCACCTGTTGCGATCTTGAAGCATTATGCAGCGGAATTATTGGTGTTTGTTTGCGAGTCTATTGAACTGCAACCTTTTGTTAAAGTGATGAAGCAAGCTTTATTTTTAAGCTTTTTACCCCACTGATTTACCAAATGCTGATATGTTGAATAATCATTATTTAAAAAAAAAAAAAACAGCTACAAAAACACTTGTTACTCCAATAACTTTTTCCTGCTTTAATTCAATTCAATTTTATCTTATTTTGCATCAGATACATATATTTAGAATTGCTGGACTCGCTATTTTCCCATGCAAATTTGTAAATACATTATTTTAAGGTTCAGAATAATCTTCTATGACCTTTTGGGTCGTTTTTTTCAGCACCTCCCAAAAAAAGAAAAAAAAAAAAAAAAAAAACGGAATAAAATGCTACCTGGGAAATTGAAAATGACTTGGTCCATTATAGTGTATCATAGGCTAAAAATCTACAATAGTAGTAGTCGAGAATAGGAAGGATTTATGACCTAAAAATATGGCTATTTAATTAGATCGGAATTTCACAATCAAAAAACAAATTTAAAGATTACACTAGCATTTTTACTACACATGGGTCAAAACCAGCTTTTACC